AGCGATAAATCAAATCCCAACTATCGCGTCCATTGGCAGTCATCGCAGCGTTAGTTATTCGTATGGTCTCTACAAGGTTATGTGCACATGAACGTCTGCACACCGAGGGTCCTTAAAGACCCTAGGATCAGACGGTTGAATATATGTTTACGAGTTTTTATTCACTGGCTCAGCCACAGTTGTTCCTGTTCAGATAGATGAAAATCCTCTATTGATTCCCGGTCTTTTAACTGGCAAATTATATTACTCCTGTATCACGTTTGCAGCAACATCGGCATGGATAAATTGGTCAAGCTCGAGTTCCTATTTTGTTCCATTGGCTTAATTGAAGCACTGGGTGGAATTTTGTTCATTCGCTACGTACAGGCTTCTAGACAGTGTGCAATCAAAATTAATCAACCCAGCATTGTGAACGACCCAAGGCTATCCGGTAATTGTGTCGACTAGAAGATTGCACCAGCCTTCGTTTCTTGTTCCTCTGAAAATTGTACGCAAAAGGATGTTCTGTTGCGCTTCAAAACTTCCTTCTATGCCTTGATCAGATATTATCATTGGGACAGGATTTGGGTTATTATCGAATGAGATCCGGTGTGCAAAAATATGGGACCCTTTGAAATCTTTTGTCGCTTCTTTGATCGATTGTGCAAACATTATCAGCAAGAGCCGTCAAGCATGGAGGACGTTGGTTACGTTCTGGCGGTGGTTGTCTTTGCACAGCAAGGTACGTGCATGGACCGCACACGGTTGTTGAACTAATATCAGCCGCTATTTTAAAATGTTCTGCTATACATTCGGATACGCCTGTTAAAGTATTTTCGATGATGTAGTGTATTTTCCAGTAATCCTCTATGTCCGTCCCGTGGGGTTCTTGAGACATAAACGGTATATGTCGCAGGAATGAGTCTTGTGTTTCTCAGTCAACTCATTACTGGCAGCGGGCACAAGGATGGTGCCACAATTTGCAGTTTAGACATGTGTCTCTTTCTGATGCCCGAAACCTAGCATGTTTCGAGATCAAAATAGATTTGTTAGCTCCACATCCTTGCCCGTTACACAACGAATGACTAGGACTAATAATAACGGCCATTATAAATGTTTCCACGCAATAAAACATTATCAAACCTAATAACACAAGCTGTTCGTGAGGCCCTAGAAGGTCAACAGTCATATGACTTATCCCACCGGGTGCCCATTCACTGCTGGCAATTCAGGAACAAACCCATTTGCCCAAGGTGAAACCACATGTATCACGCGAGTTTAGTTGTGGGGCCGGACTGAATTCCAAGCTTCCAAACACGGTTACCTATTCAAGAGCTGTCCGCGACTATCGTTGCATAACTTCACACCACCACTAGATTCCTTTTACAATATTAAGATGTCATGCTATGATATAACTGAAGCAAAATACTGCTGAAAACTAAATCCAAATCAATCAAATTGATCCACGCATATTGCCATGCGGTGTATAATAGCAGTGAACCAATCACATTCGCTCACGCATATTGCCATGCGGTGTATAATAACAGTGAACCAATCACATTCACTCACGCATATTGCCATGCGGCGTATAATAACAGTGAACCAATCACATTCGCTCACGCGTATTGGCATGCGGCGTGAAATAACACTGAAACAGCTTTGTCAAACAGATGATATGGAGATATTTGCTGATACGTACATGTCACGCATGTCAGTGCCTGATTAAGCTCAGCCTCTGTTTGGACAGTCAAGAAACTGAAGACTGAAATGTGAATGCACACATCGGTGTCATCTAAAGTAGTCAAAGTGTACACTTGTCCGACCGTTTGTCGTAAGAGGAGACTAAAGGGATCGGGTGGTCAGACTCGCTGATTTGGTTGATTCATGTCATCGCATCGCATCTGTAGATCGATGCTCATGATATTGATCACTGGATTGTCTGGTCCAGACTCGATTATTTACAAACCGCCGCTATATAGCTGGAATATTGCTGAGTGCAGCGTAAAACAACAACCAAGCCTTGTCTGATGCAAACAGACGATGCCGCCATCTGACGCAATGGACAAAGAGAGTGAAAATCATCCTCGAATATCATTTGTCATGTATATGTTACAGTAAATATGTATAATCAATTGATATGTATATTTACTGACGTTTTCAGTGATTATATATATTTACTGAAATGAAGATCTGATCAAGAATGAAATATAAACAAAGACGTGTTTGCTTGTTCACTTTATTAATGAAGATACATGGTCAGATTGATCAACATACATGTCTTGTTGGTATCTACAGGACACAAAATATGTTCATTTGTCCAAGTCGATATTTGCACTATTTAAAAGCAAATGATATTAGGAGTATTAATTATGTTAATCAATCTTACGCAATACAATTGTTGGAAAGTTTGACTGACTGACTGAGTATGGTTTTACGACGTTTTTAGCAATATTCCAGCAATATCACGGCGAGGGACATCAGAAATGGGCTTCACAAATTGAAGCCATGTAGGGAATCGAACCCGAGCCTTCGGCGTGACGAGCAAACGCCTTAACCACTAGGCTACCCCACCGCCCCTGGAAAGTTTGAATGTCACAGGAAAGAAATTTTAAAGTATGACGGCAGTTCTGGGTTATTTGTTGATGAATATTATCTAATTTAGTAACCTTTGCATAAAACAGTCAGTTCTCTCAGCTGAAATACAACGTTTACAGATACGTGATATCTTAAATAGACATAGCCATTTGTGTTTTCCAATAAATGATTATTGGATAGACTTTGTTATTTTCACTCGAGAGTACAGGGATTAGTGTCAGGTAGCAATGTATCTACCAGACCACATTGCATGCCCTTGTAGAAGGTCACGTCTCAATTATGGCTTAATGATGTGCATCACACTTGTTCCACACTCCCTGATGCTGGGATACACACTCTGGTCTCATCCTACATAGCAATAAAGGTGTACTCACTGCAGACAGTCAGCAGACAGCCATTATCATTTGATGCATCCTCGCTGAGTGTCTTCTGTCTATTTGTTGTTCCTGGCTACATCTGACAATGGATGGTATCACAGCGTCAGTGGCTGAGCATAAGCTATAACACTAGCATTATTTATAAATTAAAGAACACGAAATTTACTACATAAATAAATAACATGACGGCTTTAAGTGTACTTTGTGTTTCCATCTAGGATCAATAAGAGACGATATATCTTGGTGTCTCGTTTACCTTCAAATTGAGCTCGTGTCATCTGGGAATGTTAGCTGATAGTGTTTGAGTGAGCGAGTGGGTGAGTGAGTTTAGGTTTACGCCGCAATCACCAATATTTCAGCTATATGGCGGCGGTCTGTAAATAATCGAGGTCTCCACCAGACACCAGACACCAGACACCAGCATGAACATCGATCTACGCAATTGGGATACGATGACATGTATCTACCAAGGCAGCGAGCCTGACCCCACGATCCTGTTAGTCTCCTCTCACGACAAGCATAGGTTGCTGAAGATCAATTCTAACCCGGATCTTCACGGGTTGATGGTGTTGAGTTTAGACTATAACTGGACTTCGCTCACGTAACCAAAGACAAACTGTTACGGTGGTAGTCCTTAATTGTGTCAAGAGACATTGATATGTTATGACGGAGGTTGAGTATTAATGTTGGTCTTACTATATTGTCTTTATTAATTCAAAACGTGACAGCTGGTTGCCATCCTCCCAAAGAGCCATATCAATCGGCGAACAAAAAACAATTGGCATAATTTGATAAATTAGCAATGATCTATTGAACCAGGTGAGCTAAATAACTAGACATGTTCCTAATGATCTTGTTGATCAAAGATCCACTCATGCGTTTCACGGAACACTGAACTGGCTATACGTTATAATCGACCTTATCGACGTATGACTTTCGCCACACATCGATAACATCTTTCTTCCACTGATGAATCCACAATCTGGTATGACTTTCTAAAATATACTTTTAAAATGATTGCTTACCTTCTTAAGGCTGCTGGATATCATTACATACACAGGCAATCTCAGTCATCAAACGAAAGGAGATGTATCATAACATGCTCTTAAATACTCCAAACATTCAAAACAGGTACTTCTGATCCCTTGGCGAAGTTAATGAGTTGATGTAGACCTGGGTGACCGAGGAAGCATGTTTACATGCTACCAACTCCTGGTGAAGCAGCTACCTCGTAAGCATTCCGTGATCTCTTCAACATTCCTTGTCCGAGCATCGAACATGTCGAGATTTCTGAAGAATGCATTAGCGGAATGGTTTGTGAGTGAAAGCTTATCAAGCGCATTCCTGCCGCCAACGAATATGTCTTGTTTGCGAATGAATCGGATTTTAAGCATCATCTCAACCACATTTGCTCACAGTTTGCCATGAGTTAGTTTTATCTAAACAGTTTCTTTGTCTTGAGGTTTAACCTTAACCATTAACTTCACAATGTAGCAGTCATGTAATCAAAATAAGTGATGTCTTTTTAGTAATAGTGTGTGAAATCCCAGACTGTGGTAGGTTCCTGATCTCAAGTTACACATTCTCGATGTAACAAAAACACTTTTTGGGTAATGTTGAAAATGAATTTCAATGATTTAGTTTATTTGTTTTCTACTGAAGCTCCTATCTCAGTCACGGTAGAATTATAGCGTCCCTTCATTGCACTATACTATGACATTCCCTCGCTATGGCACCACCTTCCCTCTCAATCACTGTCATTCTCTCTCTCCCTGACAATGTTTTCCCGTTCCCTCACTGTATTGCAGTGTTAGCTCGTTATATGTAGTTAGTTCTCCTTCCATGTAATAAACAAAACACGGGAGCTGCATGCAGTACAACATTAATACCTATGTCAGGAGAACAAAATGAACCAGAAGTTTCAATGAGGGGTGTGTGTGAGTGTGTGGGTGGGTGGGTGTGGGGGCAATATTATTGAGGACAGTGCTTTGGGTTTCTAGTGATCGTTTCATCTATGGTGCACATCTGAGATATTTATATTGCCCTGGGTCTCCTTTCACGAAGCAACCTTTGCTAAGGTTAAGCTTAACTCCCATTCATTAACATTGTACTAAGGTTACCTTGGTGACTTACGATCACCTTAGTGCTTTGTGAAAGGAGGCCCAGGTCTCAACTTCAGATACACGATTCAGCGAAGTAGCATACCTTTGGCTACTTTCTGACATTATTGATGACTCCAAGCGATGACGCTAACTTTCTGCACTTTACACAGTGGTATTATATGTACTGGCTGTACCGAAAACCCATCGTACGCAAAACATGTAACTTGTGGATGTGAAGGTTTTGTTTACATGCAGTATTTGGTAACCTTATTGGAATAGACGTAGGTCGAACGCAAAAGATACACATGTCTTGCATACTAAATACTGTAGCGAAGTGTAAAGAAGCAAACACACATAGTTGAATGTCACAGTGCCATTCAAACAATTTCATGTTGAGTTATTTGTCTCTCCTCTGTTCAGAGTGGATGAGGGTTAAGATTAGGAACGGAGGTTGAAATGTTGCATTAAAGTTGATTGTGTAGCATTTCACTCCTTTCCATATGCCGTCCCTTGATTTGAGTAATGCCAAGAGGGTCAGTTTATAATATGCTTATATATGTTTGCAAGTGCGATCAACACTGGTTTGACGAGAATTTATATTGTGTATGGCTCGGTAATATACATAACATACATGTGGACCACGGATGGTTACTTGTTTACCACTAGATACTGAATAGACGTCGGACAATGTTACCTTACCAGGGCGAAAGAGGGTTTAAGGTTCGACATTTCATGAGGAAGAGGCTTCCCAACAGCAAAAGTTATACATACTTCCAAATAGCTTTATATTATCACGCAAGTTCAAGACAACTTGACTACAAGAACTAAAGAACTTGATACATGAACTTCTATAGCAGTTGAGAACGTTGACATTGAACTGAAACGTGAATAACAAATTATATTCCTCGAAGTTTATGTGATTTTATGCTGTAACGAGACAAAGAAATGACATCATCACACACAAAAATAGTGTATGAGTACGAGCCCGTATGTCCACATCTATATTCCCGGTTTTAGAACAAGCATTCGCATAATCCTAACACAAGGAATCCTCGAATGGATCCAAGACAAAAAAATCCAAAGATCATTTCTCTCTTAAACACGATCTCTTATAGAAGACACATAATTCAGGCATAAAATCTGTATAATCTGTTACAGAATAAGGAAATTGCTTCACGATTAACTAAGTTGTAATGACAGGCGCTATTTCCTCAGTTATGTGTCAGGATTGAAAACATTTAATTTGCATTGTGGGTGGAGCGCACCTGACTGAGATCCCTTCAACAACCCCCATGAAGTGCTTTCTGCTTAATCGTTTAATTTCCATAAATATTTTGTGACGCTTATAAAATATGAATTCGTGACCATAGTTGGTTACCCATGCCGAGATGCAGCTGTCACAGCTATGTTGAAGTATCTGCTGTGTGGTGTCACCAATTTTGTTCTGGGGAGCTAGGGGGTCAGCAATTTGTATACACGTACTAGGGGTGTCAGCAATTTTATACATTAAAATATGTTAAAAATTATACTTAGAAATTATGGGAAGGGGAGGGGGGTCACTGATTTTGTATATGGCATGCAGTGGTGTCACGTATTTTGTACCTAAATGTTAGGGGGGGTCATTCACATTGTACATGTTTCTCCATAAAAATCATCATCAACCCCCCGTAGCCATAAATTATGAACTGTCCCTAAGATATCATTCATCTGTTTTCCCATATCAGGAAATGCCTGCCCAAACGATGCCTGCCCCCACCGACCAGTGAACTGTGTCTTAACGGCCCCTCAGCGAAATGAACATACAAATGGAGATTCTTCACTGAATTAAGTCTGATTACATTTACCACGACGCCATTGCAAGTGAATTCTATACCATGGTATGCTATCAGAGATAATTTATAATGTATGTCATCAAATTCCCAGATCCTACTACGACTTTGTTGAATTGAAGATTATATTTTATGTACAAATATAACATGACTATAAAAATATCGCTAAAGGTATCCTCGTGTTCTTGCAGATAAACCCTTCCAATGTTACTCAGCGCCTGTGTCGAAGGAACGCTACAACACACGTTTTAGCCCGGCAAAAATGACCTTCCGTAGTTTTCCACGTATTACCTCAGTTTCAGATTAGTAGTTTTTATATCTAACGCCCTGGAAACATTAGAGACAAGTATACTGTAAAAACATGGCGTGATAGGATACGTGTCTGTATGGCACATATATTGAAATACGGTTAATGGTTTCACCGATCACCATTTTTGCATTTCAAGGATTCTGACACAATTCTTGAGAAGCGATGACACTTAAATGTACATGGCGGTATTTCATAGCCTTCAGAACCGCCATGCTATATTTCCCTCGAGACACATGTACGTAGATAACGTATACAGAACTGATATTAATGGCTTCTTCTTGTGTTCGTTTTCGTAATGTATTTAATGCACATAAATAGCACGATCATATTCAGTCGCTTATAATCACATCTACCCATGGAACTGGTTACATTATGTCACCCCCTGCTTATCAAACCACATAATTGTATTGATCATTCCTTTCACCTCCATATTAACACCTCCCAGTTAATTCTGTAAAACGTGACCACCCAGTACCTACAAACACCATAAACACCGCTTAATAACAACTCCCAGTTAATTCTGTAAAACGTGACCACCAAGTACTTACAAACACCATAAACACCGCTTAAGAACACCTTCCAGTTCATTCTGTAAAACGTGACCACCAAGTACTTACAAGCACCATAAACACCGCTTTGTAACACCTCCCAGTTCATTCTGTAAAACGTGACCATCCAGTACCTACAAGCACCATAAACACCGCTTAATAACACCTCCCAGTTCATTCTGTAAAACGTGACCACCAAGTACTTACAAACACCATAAACACCGCTTGATAACACCTCCCAGTTCATTCTGTAAAACGTGACCATCCAGTACCTACAAACACCATAAACACCGCTTAATAACACCTCCCAGTTCATTCTGTAAAACGTGACCACCAAGTACTTACAAACACCATAAACACCGCTTAAGAACACCTTCCAGTTCATTCTGTAAAACGTGACCACCAAGTACTTACAAGCACCATAAACACCGCTTTGTAACACCTCCCAGTTCATTCTGTAAAACGTGACCATCCAGTACCTACAAGCACCATAAACACCGCTTAATAACACCTCCCAGTTCATTCTGTAAAACGTGACCACCAAGTACTTACAAACACCATAAACACCGCTTAATAACACCTCCCAGTTCATTCTGTAAACACCGTGAACACCAGTTCATTCTGTAAAACGTGACCACCAAGTACTTACAAACACCATAAACACCGCCTTGTCACACCTCCCAGTTCATTCTGTAAAACGTGACCACCAAGTACTTACAAACACCATAAACACCGCTCAATAACACCTCCCAGGTCATTCTGTAAAACGTGACCACCAAGTACTTACAAACACCATAAACACCGCTTAATAACACCTCCCAGTTCATTCTGTAAAACGTGACCACCAAGTACCTACAAACACCATAAACACCGCTTAATAACACCTCCCAGGTCATTCTGTAAAACGTGACCACCAAGTACTTACAAGCACCATAAACACCGCTTTGTCACACCTCCCAGTTCATTCTGTAAAACGTGACCACCAAGTACTTACACACACCATAAACACCGCTTAATAACACCTCCCAGGTCATTCTGTAAAACGTGACCACCAAGTACTTACAAACACCATAAACACCGCTTTGTAACACCTCTCAGTTCATTCTGTAAAACGTGACCACCCAGTACTTACAAACACCATAAACACCGCTTAATAACACCTCCCAGGTCATTCTGTAAAACGTGACCACCAAGTACCTACAAACACCATAAACACCGCTTTGTAACACCTCTCAGTTCATTCTGTAAAACGTGACCACCCAGTACCTACAAACACCATAAACACCGCTTAATAACACCTCCCAGTTCGTTCTGTAAAACGTGACCACCCAGTACTAACAAGCACCATAAACACCGCTTTGTAACACCTCTCAGTTCATTCTGTAAAACGCGGCCACGCAGGTCATGTAGTACCAATAAACACAGCTCAATAACATCAGAAACACTTCTCAAAAACACCTGGAACTTCATTGTATAAACCACGATGACCAACTACATAAACGGCACGACGACCCACCACATCAAAATCTGTAGCAACCACTTTGACAACACATTAAAGTTCATTCTATTAACCATGACTGCTAACTATGCAATGACACTACACAACAACAACTATAAAACTACAAACCACGCTAAATAACACATCCAGGACCATTCTAATAACCACGGCCAACACCATAAAGAATGCTTAATGACAGAACACAAACATTGCAAAAAAGGTTACTAAACGTGATGAGGATTTGTTCCTATACATGGGGTTTTGAAGCAAGACACAAGGTACGTACTGCATATGATGTATCACTGACACGTTAGTACATCAGGGTGCCGTTGTACAAAGCGATCTTCGCGTACCTAAACGTAAACGTACGGCAGTCGTAGCGCTATGGTTGGTTTGTACAACCTAATCAAGAGCCCAGATTTTCGAAGCTCTCTTAGTGCTAAGATAGTCGTAAGTGCCATTCATTAACATTAACTTACGGCTATCTTAGCGCTAAGAGAGCTTCGAAAATCTGGTAGCCCTGCATGTCTTTATATTTCGTCGAGCTGCAAAGCCATTCTATCATAATCCAATAGCCGCAAGAAAGGTGTTACCTTTTATGCTCGATGTTAAGAGCAACTTCTTTTACATCCATATGGACATCATGAAAGGTTGTAGTGGTTTTGCTTTGGCCAGTTTCCTTGAGTGTTTACACTAACTTTCAGTTCATTATTTCTTCAATAATTATTATTATAAGCTGTCTGTCAAGCAAAACAAATTAATATGTAACGTGGATGTTGGTAAACTGGTGTGAATGAGTACAGTTTATGTCATTTTCAATAGTGGTTTTCTCATGCATTTCCTGTGGAGACCAAACCGGAATCTTCGGCGTATTGAGCAAACGCTGTAACCACGAGACTACCCTATCCCCAAAACTCCACAATGCATGACTATATTGCTATTGGGCATTACGTTCTTTGCCCAGGAAGGTACGACTGTAATATACGACTGGGTTATTTATAGCCAATAGATCTTGCAGAGAATATCAAATCTGAGATTCCAATCGGCATGTAATTATATTGTAATAAATCAATACTCGTTGGATGAAGCGAAGCTAGTTTGGTGATGTAAGGTATTGTGGCGGAAATTGCATTCACTGAACAAATTCCGTGGATCCGATGAAACAAATGCTGAATGTTTGTAAGATTGCGTGTACAAATATCCCCACAATGCTCATGCTCAAAATATATCTCACCCAAAGTGTGTGCAAGTTTGCCAATGCAGCCAATCACTTAATATCGATAACCCCGAAACAATGTCATCATATTTGGTATTCCGTATGGTCAAACCCAAAATATCGCATTATTTCATGTGCCGCATGGGACGATATTATTAACAGAATATCCTCCAAATACAAGCAAACGTCATTATAGACACTCGTCGGTCATAACATGCTGCGCTGAGGAATCTATATACGACCTTCTCACGTTTATGTGTGAGCTTTGAGCCCCAACTGGACATCACATGTGGCCAATGTAACGACTCTGAGTCGCCATTAGTGCCATGAGGAGTCTTTGGGGCCAACCCCTTGATTCTTCAACTTACAGCGCGTTCCCTATCCGACATCCCAGGAAGGTACTAAAATTCCATTTCCGAACTTCCGTGCTAACAGCATGTATATTCGTACCGTATTTAACCATAAAAGTGACAACTAAGTTTTTATATGTATTGGCAATTGGTAAAACTCCAACTGCACAGAAGAAAAGGTGTTCGTTTAAGCAAAGTCGACTCCTGTTTTCTAAGGTATTTTAAAAGAAAACAAATTGATGTTTTCTTGTCACAACAGATGTCGCCATGTAACCTGAATGTGATTAAAACTACCTGTGCAAGAGAGGAAATCAGCTTTGATACACAGGATGGGAATGACTAGGCCGGAAACGAGAAACCACAGACTTTTTGGGTACAGCGAAAATTAATTGTCGCTGTGAACAGCGTGTGAGACTATGCAGCGTGTCAAGTTGTTGGTGAAAATCAAAGTACGCTGAACCCTATACGCTGAAGATTCGCAACCAGGCCATTCCTGCTCTTTGTTTCAATGTGCCACAGCGGTATTCAAGGATCTAAATATGGGCAATACACATTAAAGGGCACATTAAGCCGAAAACGTCTTGGAATCAATTCATGATTATTCCATAACGTTTTATGGTGTGCATGATAGCCGCTTTTACTTTGTACTTTATAAAAGACATCCAACTGTTACAAAAGACATTTTAAAGCTTAAATTCAAACCAACCCTGTGTTTTATAGAGCTTATCCTTCGTGGAGAGCACGAGCTGCGGACCAATGCTGGAGATATAACCTGAGAGTGTAGCGTAATGGCATAATCTAAACGTAATGTTTCAGACTTTAGACACTAACGCAAGGGGTTTAGTGACATCCTTATTTACTGCCTAATTCCAGAATGGCGTTGTAACTTATCTCATCAGGGCTTGTCGGCAGATCCCTGCCATATGATATTGCCAAATTGATTACAATATGACACCTATTGATTAATCTATTTATGAGGCTTCTCTTGTGGTTACTGAACCCAGTATCGCACCGTACGCACTTTTAACGACTGCTTAATCCCTGTTCATCGTTTGACTGAAACCATATCAAATAACTTTTACGCATTTTGGAGATTTGCTACACGCTGTGATGCTCAGTTTCAGAAAAAAAACATTCCGTGAATTTATTGAGCTCATGACATAAAAGAGTTGGACAGAAAAGTATATTTTTGCTAATTATGATTAAAGTAGGATAGTTATCCGACGTGTTGAATACAACGAGCATTCTGTTTATTTAATTGTTTGCGTATGCTATAGTAAATGCATACCAAGGCACGATTAATTTCATTTCTGCGTGCAAATGAACCGAAATGCAAACCTTTTGAAATCGTTTATAATTTTCTTCCAAAACTGATAATTCAGTTTGATATTCAAATGTTGTGAACTGTGATATTTTTCTATTTTTTTCGGAAAACACATTGCGAAATAATTTCAGGCATTAAAATTGAAAGTTACTCTTTCATTAAAAAGATGGAACCAGTTCCAATACAGTAAATATCAACTCATGCATATGTCGCAGAGTAGTATGTTAGAAATCCTACTGTTGTTCCCAAGTGGACATAAAATTTATCTTATAAGCCTGGTTTGGCTGACGTATCATACCGTTGATCCCCAATGGGACAGGCCCCAGTACTCAGGTGCTTGTCGTCATTGATCAGGTGGCCATGCTTGGTGACTTATTTAAATGTGTGTCATCTTCGCCCAACGGCGTGGAACTTTGCAAAGCCACTGGTTTGTGAGTACTTGGTTATTTACATGTCGCTATGACAATGTTGGAATATTGTTGACTGTACCATTACACTCTTTACCAAACTCAACTATACACCCAATTGAGCTACAGTGCATTGCGGGGCAGTGGCGTAGCTTAGTGGTTAAAGCGTTGGCTGGTCACGCCGAGGACCTGGGTTCGATTCCCCACATGGGTACATTGTGTGAAGCCCATTTCTGGTGTCCCCTGCCGTGATATAGTTATCTTAAGCTGTCAAGAGTACTGATTTTTCATACACATTATACACAATATATGCCTACTGTTGTTACAGTAATATATATGGTTATCGGTACATGTACTCTCTTTGAATATCATCAGACGTGGGAGGTGGCCTTGTGTTTAAAGCGTTCTCTCGTCACGCTGAAGGCCCACGTGGGTACAATGTGAGAAGCCCATTTCTAATGTCCCAGGCGCGATATTGCTGGAATCCTACTCACTCCTCACTCACTCAGCATACACAGTTATCTTATTGTTCTATATCAATGCACCACCAACAATCGTTTAATCCTGCCAGTTTTGTTAAAAACAAAATTAAAACTCTAAACAATCATTTGGGTTTTCATCTGCCCCCACTTTCACTGTCTGACCTATACTTAACCTAATTAGGTTCTTCAGTGGACATTAGTCTGTATGTGAGTCTCTAGGTTAATTTAAACGGCATCACTGGTGTCTTATTGAAACGTAATTGGGAAGCCAAACCGTGTGTTTTGGACAATTCCTCCGAGTCCACTAGGCGTAACAACATCTCCCTTGTAACTACATGGTGTGACCACATGTCCCCTGTAACCACAAGGTGTGACGGCATCTCCCATTATACCTTTGTGTGCAAGAACAGCTATTCTTATACCGCTGTTTGCCCTCCCATAGGCGGACCCAAAGTCCTGAAAGTTTATTAAATGACCATTGAAACTCACGTGAAAACGGGTGGAAATGAAGTGTGCACCCCCCTTCTCCAGATTGTGCACCCCCGCCCCTTTCTCAAAAAAGCTGTATCCGCCCTTGCCTCCCATGTCACTACCGCAACACAATCTCATGCCTAAACATCAAAGCTGATCCTAAACCAAATTCAAGACTGAGTCTGATACACATGCAAGACAAATTGGAAGAGCGACTGAAAAATCTCGTATTTGTAACTTATATATTGATTGTGCTGAGTAAGAGGCGACTAACAAGATCGGGTGGTCAGACTCGCAATTGGTTGAGACATGTCATCATATCCCAGATCGATGCTAATGCTGTGGATCACTGGATTGTCTGGTACTGACTCGATTACTTACATACCGCCGCGATAAAGCTGGAATATTGCTGAGTGCGGCATAAAACTAAACTCACTCACTCACTGATTGTGATGAATTAAGGCACAACTTTGAAGAAGGTGCGTTCACTTTCGTCCCGTGGAACAACTACAACAATATATAATGGCTCTTACAGACATTGTTCTTGTGTCAGTGGGTAATATATGATATTTACGTACATACATGCCTTGAGGGTCAACGTGGTGAACAAGCTCACGTTTTTGCATATTCCTATTATCTTTGCATCGTGTTGAAACAACTTCACTTGTAATAGTGTACAATTTCCATAAAGGTTCAGAAGAGCTACAGACCCTTAGGCTTTATGAAAATCTAAATAATATATAGTGTCTGTCGGAAATACCTTCTATATGGAAAACAACAAAGAATTCTTATCCTCCTTTCGATTGCCTTCTCTGTATTCTATTATCAATGTTATTACTGTGGCCCCACTATGATAAAGACCGTAATTATAGCACATATTCCGAGAAATGTTTTTACCCGTGCATTTATGGCGAAACTAAACTTGATACAATCTTTTCCTTGTAAATTCAGATTTTGATAGATTCTCTACAATTGAGGCGGAACTGCGATGGATTCATGATTAGCGTTATCGTTGATCTATGTGTGTTTGAACTACACTTATCAGAATCTAGTCATCTTGCTTAGAAGACATTATTTAATTAGAAACCACATGTGGCGAACGAGGTCATTAACAGGTCATGTATATTATTCCCTGTGGTATCGTCATTATTAATTAAGTAGAACATCAATATTCAGTGAAACTGATCATGTGTGAAAGGTCCACAACAGGCACATTCACGGTGTGACGGCATTGCATCTATTTAGGGTCTACTGAATAATCATATCCAGTGCTATTCCTGTGATAACCTACCGATCTAACTTTGGCTTCTCTTGGCTTGTAATCGTAATACTCAACGCTGAACTAACACAACGCAGTCTAAATGTGACAAGTTATTTCCAAAGGAGTATGTGTCGTAGAGAGACATAATCTCTCTTTACGACAACCTGGGAAATAAAATTGGCGACTAAATTCTTTTTGCCCATGGAATGGAACATCAATGATGGTGAAATGTTTTCTAATGGTTTCTGTGCAAACACCATGGCCTGATTAGACGCAGCCATTCCAAAGTAACAAATCAACGGTTTGTTTCCAGATTAAATCAATAATAAGACACTGATATTGTAAAACAATTATGTGTTTTTGCGTTCGATTAACTACTATTCATAGTCCCTGCAATAACCATTTGTCTTTCTTAAATAGTTTCATATGCACTCAGAAAGTTGAAGGTGAGGTGAGGTGAAATTGGGTTTAACGTCGTGCTTGAGAATATTTCGCTCATATGACGACGTGCATGCGTGTGTATGTGTATGTGCGGCTTCTTGTACTAGCCCCGACTGAAGCTGGTTTTATAGTGCTAGCCCACTGAGATACCATGCCGCAGTGAAGCATGAATACCCCACTCAGACACATTATACTGACTCCGAGCCGACCAGTCCTTGTTGTACCCATTAATGCCGAGCGCCAGGCAGGAACAACAAGTACCATATTTTAACGTCTTTTGGTATAGATCGAACCCGCGACCTTCCGCTCTCCGGGCGGAAGCTCTAACCACAACCCCACGGAGGCGGTCCAGAAAGTTGAAGACGAAATTAACTTCAAAAACTGAGACTCTGTCTTTCTCTCAGTGCAACAATGACCGACGAAGATGACACATTGAAATTGACTCTCTCCCCCCTCTCTCTATCCCACTCTTATCTCTCTGCCTCTCTCCCCCTCTCTCTCCCTCCTCCCGGGGCGATGGGGTAGCCTAGTGGTTAAAGCGTTCGCTCGTCACGCCGAAGACCCGGGTTCGATTCCCCACATGGGCACAATGTGTGACGCCCATTTGTGGTGTCCCCCGCCGTGATATTGCTGGAATGTTGCTAAAAACGGCGTAAAAACCATACTCACTCACTCACTCTCCCTCCTCCCTCTCTCTCTCCCCCCTCCCTCTCTCTTTCTCCTCCCCCTCTCCTCTCCCTCTCCATGAGAGTTATGACATTTTGTATTTGGAATTTTAGAGTGAGTGAGTGAGTTGAGTTTTACGCCGCACTCAGCAATGTTCCAGCTATATTGCGGCTGGAATTTTAGAATGACATTCTAGCCAGTTGACATCAGTTGTAAGTCGGATAATATAATGAGTTGTGTCTCCATCGGAGGCTCGGATACATATGGACAAAGCTGACATGAGTTAAATCTCCATCCTAACATCAGCACCTACACTACGAGTTGGTACAAATGGTCCTGCTAAGCCCACTGAGTGCCCCTGGCGCCAAATGTTAAAGCCTTTGAAAACATCGGCATCCTCCTAACAGATCTAACGTTGTGGGCCACTCGTGCAAGCAGAATAAAACCCTTGACAGCCAAAGCTGCCTCAATGAGAAATAATGATCTCTGCCATACGTAATTTGTGGACTGAGAAACTGTGTGTTGAAGAGTCTTCTTCATCCAACTCATGTTTGTTGAACAATTGTCAACCTCTAAGACGCTCTTGGTTTCCTCTGCAGTGAATTTAGCCTTTATCATGCTTCATTTAGTCGTGGAATTTTCATGGCCTCTTTAGTCACCCATCGCAAGCTCGGGTCGATTAGAGACCATTCACATTCCAATTCCTCCGACAAAGACTGTACCATTCTCTTGGCATGTATGAGCTCTCAATCACAAGCATGACACTGGTAGTCCTCACCTTGATTAAATTCAGAAAGCCGACATGTCTTCTGAAGGATCCATGATGAAATGAAGATGTAGCTTTGCCTTCAGTCGCATTCGCTGGTAAGGGATGAAAGTAGAAATACATATTAACAAAGAAACCAGATGATGTGTTGACATTGCTATGAAGGCACATATCCTACGTTTTCAATATTAATCATTTGAACATGACAAAATTACAGGTGCAGACTTGCCTCTCATAGTCGTACCAAGATCCGCAATTGAATCACAGATTCGTCCGAATACACTCACTCACTAACCCCTGTCAGCATGAGTGTGGGTGAGTGAATCAGTGAGTGAGGTACTTGCTGATAAAATAATGACCATAACAATGTCGAATCGAGATTCGATCACGCAATCAATGGATTCTGGCAAAACACTGAAACTGCGATTCCGAGACAAATGGGACAGCCGTTCTCCCCAAAGTTTACAGCTTTACGTTCCTCGATCCATTTATATCAAAACCAATTATGGAAACATCAATATAGTTGAATTTATCATGCTATCTACAATTGGATAATTCCAATCTTGTTAGAAGCTGCTTAATTACGAATGGTCTTTGGGGATGCAGTCTGTAAATACTCTGGAAATACTATTCTAGTTTTACCATTATTTACAAGGACTGATTTCAGTCCCGATCTTTTGAATTTTACTAAAATATCATGTAATGGCACTGTTTATATTAAGCATGCTATTTTGTTACGTCTAAAACATCAGATATAACCATTATCAGAATAACCAAAGAAAAGATCACATGCTTTTTCCTGTACATAATACAGAATATTTAGGAAAAATAACAATAACATTTTCTTAGCGATATTTTCATTCCACCCTACAACGCAGTAAACAAAACATTTATACACACGGGTACATCAATACAAAAACATTATGCATGTGTGCCATTACATCATGTGCACTCACAATTTACGATTGTCATTATTGTTAACGATAATATACCTTTTGGGTCACATTGGAAAAAGTTTGACATGAAAATGTTCATGCATTTTTATAGGGTTCAGTATATAATCAGATTTAATTGCATGCACATAGAAGCCGTGCATTCAGCTATGCGTGCATTGTGTAATGGTCATGGTGACATGGATTCCGTCGATACATTTAAAATGGTTTAACAGAAGGAAACCGATAAGGGTCAGATGCATCGGATTTCAGTCATATTCTCATACATCATCCTTGCAGAATAGACGGCAATCTACATTAAACGGGGTTTATCATATGAAACCGCAGAGAAGAACTCGAGGGTTAAATTTTATGGCCTTTTAGAATACGTCAGTTGGAACAGTGTCGCAGTGAATCATTGTTATTTGATACATTCCCTATAGACATGTTTTTTATCTGACATAATTCAAAGCTTAACGTTATCATCGTTATGAAAGGATTCCTTACGATTTCTTTTTGGCATTATTGGCCATTTAGACATGATCTATCTCAGCTAGCAGTTGTGCTGCATTTGCGTTTTTGCTTCATGAAATATGTTTTCTTTAATTGAAAGGGCATTGTCTTCTAAAATAGTTGCCTATCGCCTCCGTAGAATTTCAATTGAAAGGTCTTGGCGATATCTTCTTATGAAATCGTGACCTGCATTCACCAAACCCTAAATTTACACAATTCAAAACTTCTTCGTAAACTGATGTTGGCTGCATTTTGCATTGATTTCTGGTGTCATTCACCTGATGAAGGAGCAAGGATATACTCCGAAGCGTTGTGTTCCTCATGATAAAGAATTTGACATCTATAAAAACTCTCTTTCCTGATTTCTGATTGCCGTACATATTTAATAATAAACATTTTGTGGCAATGGTAAATGAAGTTTATAATATATGCAAGATATTGCTGGTATATATTATCATTAACTATCAGATGCACCGCTCAAAGATCAAAGTACTTTATCAAGCGATGATGTACACTTTGTGCATTTGGTCACACTGAACTGACGTCGCTACGCCATTCTAGTCTGTCCCGTCGTAATCAGACGTGATTGGTAACTGACGTCAAGATTCGCGTTATGAAACCCAACACGGTCGGTTTTTCAACTGACGAAAACTCAAACGTACTGACATAAGAATAGTTTACTTGATAACATTAAAATACCCACTCTTTGTGCATTGTTTTCAATTTGACTCGTATAGTTTCTTTTGTTCTTGATGTCAGCGTGTCAAGAAACATGTAACGTCTGTCATGCCCCTCGAGCTGAGGTTATTTTAAAATATATTATTAAATAAATATCCTCAATTCATTCCTTTAGAGATAAGATGGTCTGATCATGCAGCAGACAACCATTCATGAAAAATATATTCTCCTTTGAAAATGTGATGGCTGTGAAGAACTGGCAGTCATATATCGTTTGTTGGTGGTACCGTTTATGGTGGCATCGTTTATCTATATCTTGCTTCACTTCATCCTAGCATGCTCATTACATACATACGTAACTACCTGTAACAAGTACATTAGCAATATGCTGCTTCTATAGAAGTTAAACATATAATATTGATCCATGTTTGAAAATCCGCAGCGCCCACGTAACCATCATTATCTTCCAACGGCATTAGCACATTTAGATTAAGCCACAATACAAAATCCCCATGTGGATCGAGGGTATCAGGTATACATAATACAATAAAAGGGAAATATTACTCTAAATTACTCTTGAAAGTATTATGTAATATAACTCAGT